GCCAGCGGCCAGCAGCCGGCCTGGGCTGGGCGGGGCCGGCTGTCGCTGGCTGGCCTGGGCCAGCCCGGTGCCAGAGGCACATGCTGGGCGCCCGGAGGGCTCAGCCGGGATGCCCCAGCCCCACGCGTCTCGGCGTTAGGCACGGTGGCTTGGCGAGCCCCGGAAGCCCCCCGGGACCCCGCGGGGCCGGAGGGCTGGGTTTTTGGGAGGACCGGAACAACGTAGAGGAGGCTGCTCCGAAGCAGAGCAGGGGGCCGGCAGAGGCCCCGGGAGGAGGACAGTGGGGCTCAAGGGTGAGGGGGACGGTCCCAGGCTGGAGCTGGAGAGAGGTGAGGGTTTGGGGACCCAGCGGCCCGGAGGCGAGCTGCCCGGGGCCCCGAGAGCTGCCGGTGCGATGGGCAGCCAAGCCCTGGCCTCGCCGGCCTTTCCGCGGGGCTGCTAAGCAGAGGGCGCCACGGCCAGCACCCCCGGCTCTCGGGCTCTGGGCCCTGAGTGGACGCTGTCTCCACGCTTCCGTGTGCACAGACGACGGCTAAGGTGGGGGCTCGTCTAATCCGCCCCGGGACTCACGCCGCCAAGGAAGGCATAGGCAGGGCCTCGCCTGGGCAGGGCAGAGGGACGAGCGGGAGCTGGACAACAGTCTGGCCTGCCCGGGGGACATGTCCCCCCTCTGCCCGGGAGGAGCACTGCTCCCCAGAGGCCCCAGCCGGCTTCGTGCCCCAGCGCCCCTCCCACCGTTCCCGGTGTCCCCAACGGATCAGGACTCAGCTGCCCCTCCTGATGTCACCCAGACCAGTGTCCCCCAAGGAGCGCTGACCTCAGAAGCTATTTTCACCTCGCCCCTTTGAGGGCAGGATGTGAGATGGACACCTGGCGTCCTCCTCAGCTGTCACAATGCCATCCCCGCCCCAGCCCACTGCACCCGCACCCCTCCCCGACGGATGCGGCTGAGGGGCACGGAGTGCCCCGGTGGGGTCGCCCTCTGAGCTGTGCCGGGCAGGGGAGCGGCAGCCCAGAGGCCTCCGGTTCCCCACTGGGGGAGGGGGCCTTCGCTGCCTCGTGTTCCGTGGGCCCCTGGGGAGCCATCCTGAGTGTCCTCGGGCTGCCCCGCCCAGAGGGCCGACCTGGAAGACCTGGGCAGGCCTGGCTGGGCCAGGACCCGAGCCGACAGCTGCCCTCCGGCCCCCCTCCCACCGTCTTGGGTTTCTGGGCAAAGGAGTCTTGGCTGATTTGGGTGCCTATTTCTGGACGTCTCAGCTGCCACGGGCTCCTTAAAAATAACCCGCCCCTGGACATGGGCCATGCCCGCCCCTCTCAAGGAGGCTGACAGGTGTTGGCGCGGTCGGGGTCAGTGTTGGGCACTGCAGGGTGAGGCCCTCACTGACCCCCCCCCCACCGCCTTCCAGAGGCCGTGGGGTGGGGGTCGGGTGGCCGGGGTCAGTGAGACCCCAGCTGCACACAAGGCAGGAAGCTGTGACGTGAGGGTGCAGCAGAGGCCGGGCGGGGACTTTGGGAGGGGAGGGGTCCCCGGCTTCCTGGAGGGGCTGGCGGGGTGCGCTGGTTAATTTCGCATGGCGCCGAAGTCGCTGTGGGAGAACCGCGTTCCGGCCGAGGCCGTGGGGAGCTGCTCCCACCCCAGCGGCGCGCGCGTCCCACACGCATTGTCACGTGACGAACCGGGGTTTTCTTATACGAGGCTCCCGGGGGCCACAGCTATTGTCCTCGAGGGGGCCGTCATGCGTTGCCATGAACTTGGTTGCTCGGAGCCCCCGGCCGGTACTCCGAGGCACGTTCCCAGGCCCCGGGCCGCCTCGGGCGTGTGTGGGGGCCAGCTCACCAGGAGACAGTCCTCGAGCTGCTGGCCCAGCGCCGGCCGCACCTGGACACGTGCGGCCCGCCCGGGCACGGAGCTTCCCTGCAGACGCTGACAATTTCGAGAGTGTCCAGGGGGCCTGGGAAA